TATTATTATTATTATTATTAACATTATTATAATTATTATGTTTTGTTTTCTTTATGTAACTAGTGTAAATGTAGAGGCTATCATTAAAGGAGAAATAAAAGGGTTCAGTAACATGGTTGAATAGTTGTTTGCTCGACATTAGCAGACTATCTCATTAGAGCTGGTATTTGGGGTAATTGTTCATACTATAATTGCACATTATAATGATAAATAATAATACATGACTAATAACAAGAGGAAATAATACCTAAAGGCATTATGTACTTTATGTATTACTTGTGTTGTATGTACTCTGCTAATAATATTAATTATTATTATTAATGTTGTAATGTCAATTTCCAATGACACAAATACATGTAAGAGTTAAAAATTATAGAAAAGAATACTGTATAGTGGGTTTATTTTGATGATAACAATTTTCACAAATGGCCTGAATCCGGAGGTTTATGGAATTAATTTTTGCAAAATGCCGCTTTTTGTCATCTTGTACGGTATTAAATTGATTTTCAAGGGATTTAATTCGCGAATCTTAAAAATCCACGAAATTTGTGAAATTCGTTATCCTCAAAATAAACCTGCTCTACGGTTATTAAGTAATAGCAACACTGGAGATGTGAGTCAAACATGCCAGAATTTAACACATTAATATACTAATAATTATATTTATGCAGAAAAATAATGAATGAAAGGTGCATGCATGATCAGGGTTAAAAAGTGATTCAATACAGACCACAAGTGTTATCATTTGATGACCAGTACAGCATTAAAATGAGTCCTGGATGATGCACTAGTAATAACTATTATAATTATTACTAATTACTATAGTACACTTGTTATCAATAGAATGTAGATTTTGAGCCAATTCTGATCAAAACTGGATTTTTATAAAATTTTCTAAAATTAGGCCAATAACCATATTCTATCAAATATGCCTCTGAGAGAAATCTCTTTGATACATTGTACACTCTGATGTTGTGTAGAACTGTGATTCTGATCAAAATAGTTATTCTTTATTCATGAAAATGCTACTCGTGAGAGATTTTAATTGGATTAGATTTACTGGAGGCATTTTAGGCAAGGAAGAGGCTGTTGTATGTAAGTTTATATTTAAAATAGTCAAAAGTGAAAACTGGGCTCTGAAATTGATGCCCAATGGTGTGATCTATTGTAAAGGCTTGTTTGCTTAGGTTCACCCTTAAGTATTCTACTTAATTCATTTTGTTATTGTTACTTTTATTATTATTATTATTATAGCGGAACAACACACAAAATAGGGATAGAAACTTATAGACAAGGAGAAGATAGAATTTAGATATGGTGTTGAGGGTCTGACTCCAAAAAATTAGAGTAGCCATAAAGTACAAAGAGAGAGGGAGAGAAAAAATAAATAAAATAAAAAACAACTACACACACGCAAATCAATAATAATGTAAACAACTAATAAAGACAGGAAGAACAAGGGCAAAGGAAATGAAAAGTACATGGATTTGCTGAATCAAAGTTCTCTAGAAAATGATTCCAGAGAAATAATACATACATGTAGCTTAGTTTTGATGGTAGCCAGAGATTCAGTAAGGTCTATTTTGGGTAGTTTATTCCACAATCTCACAATTCTGTTAAAGTATGAATTATGTGACCTAGAAGTACGGCAGAAATTGTGCTTGAGCTTATGAGAGGCTGATGACCTTGTGGCAGAATCATTGAATGAGATGAATTCCAGTATGGACATGTTGTCAGATGGGAACTTGAGAGACTTAACAAGATACATAATGTCAAGTAGTTTGAGCCAGTACAGCAATGGGAATAGGGAGAGCTGTATCAACCTGTCTCTGTATGAAGAGGTATAATCACCTAACACATACTTTGATGCTCTACGCTGTACTCTCTCTAATAATAAGATATGCTTCTTTAACTGTCGACGCCACAACTGGGAGGCGTAACACAACTTGGATCGTACCATAGATAGGTACAGCTGCTTTTTAACGGCACATTTGAGAGAGGTAGAGAAAGTCCTATGAATTAAATACAGAGAACTGTTGGCTTTGGAGCAGATGGAGTCATAATGACTGGCCCATGATAAATCACAAACGATTATGCCAAGATCATGATGACATAGAGGAACAGAGATCTGATCACCGTCCACACAGTAGACTGGAGAGCTACACTCGTTAAAGAAAAATCTCATGACGGCACACTTACGTGGGTTGATGAGCAGGGAATTTGAATGAGTCCATGAGACCAATGGGTCTATATCAGACTGGAGTGACAATGGATCAGACGGGCTACAGATAACACTTTGAAGTTTAGAATTGTCTGCAAATGGGAGCATGGATGAGTGTGAAATACATGTTGGAAGATTATTCACAAAGATCAGAAAAAGAAGTGGCCTGGTATACTACCTTACGGCATACCTGACCTGACTGGAAGTATGTCAGGGAGTGGCCATCAATACTAACGAGGTGATGTCTACCTGCATGATAAGTAGCATTGGAACCAACTCCACTCTTGAGCAATCAACATTAAATAAAGCATTGACCATTTAAGGATAGGAATACATGTAGTTACAGCATAGGTTGACATTGCACTTCCTGTCTTAAAATCTGGTTACATTTTGCCTCCTAATTTCTCCTTTCCTCATCTCTCTATCCTTTCCTCTCTCTCTCAGCTATCTCTTCTTCCTTTCTTTTCTCCCTCTCTCTCTATTAGACTTGTAGAGACTAGAGATCATTGGGACTGCTAATTTACACACAACTAAGAGAACAATTACATTGACTATCTACGTCAACAAGAAACAACTAAAGGCTAAAGTAGTCACAACTCACAATAAAATCAGTGAGATTGCTACTTGGCAGACAAGAAGATTGCCAACAAAATACTGGTCATAGTCTCAAAGTCACAATGAGATATAATGTCTATTCTATGGATTTCAAACCTCAGTTCAACCTAACTAATAATCATCGTGCATGACCTATTATCTATTCCTGATATAGTACTATGATTTATTCAAGGACAGTAGTAGTGTACCACAAAGCAGGTGTTTTTAGTAACATCTGCCAGCAGACTCACAGCTGTGTGTATTGAGTGAGTCGTCCCACGGCTGAGGGCTCGGTTGACGTACGTACGGCTTTCTTATAAATAAATAAATAAAGCAACAGAGAGAGCCTCAAGGAAATCTAGGCCCTGTATTTTTTTGTTTCTAGAATCAAGAAAACTCGGAAGTCACTCAGGCTTAAGAATTTTTACTCAAGCGGGGTGGCAATAAAGCCACACTCGTGCCCGCAACTTCTGAAGATTGTTTAGAGTAAGATATAGATCTGTCTATCTGCTTTCATATTACTGAGTCTTGATTTCATTGCTGTGATCTTTTTGACAATTTGGGTCTAATTTGCAAAACATGAATCCGCCGGGAGATCTAGTTAATACGCCAAGAATAACGCAATGCTAACATTATACGTGCATTTGTCTCTCTGGGACTTGTCTTTCTGGTAGTCGGATGGAACATTATAGCCACTTCTTTTTATTATAGCCATTTCCTTTTTAAATAATTGTCTACATGTAATTCAATTTTTAGTGTACTTTTAATTTTACAATACTTGTATCACAAAGTACATATATATTATATTCCCTTGTAACTCTCTTCTTTATTGTTTCACAACAGTAAAAGATGGCAAGTGGACCAAGTAAAGAGGTAATATTGAAATTATGGTGATCTCATAATGATTTTGCTTGTGTCACGACCAGAAGTTTGTATCAAATGCATTATTATTTATTGTGAACCCACTTTATCACTACATGTGATTTGTTTATGTACAATGTTGTTTGCATTTATCTTCTTTCCTTTTGATATTATAATCAACAATGCTGATTAAACTGCTATCTTTATCACACAATAGAAAGTAAGTCTACTATTTTTATATTTATCTTTTAATTTATCGTTCTGTTGCTGCTGTTGGCATCTTTGTTACACAATAGTGGGTAAGTAGATCCATCATTGTGTGCAACTGCTAGCTATTATACTATTGTTTACTTATTATCTTTTAATATGTCATTCATTCTATATCTATCAACATTAATTAAACTGTTACCTTATCTTTGTCACAATAGTGGGTAAGTCATATAGTAGATATATGTACTGTTATGTTTTTTTTTCATTCTAATACTTATATTCATCAAATGCAATCTTTTTCACACAATAGGAGGTAAGTAATGACTATTATGTTTATTATCTTGAATCTGTTTTTATCTCTGATATTGGTTGAACAATAGACAGTAAGTCATAATGTGCAATATTTTATCTTTTAACTATTTTATCATTATTTGTTACTGATATCCATCAACTAAAATTTTTGGCACAAAATAGTGGGTAAGTAATGATGTGTACATATTTACTTATTATCTTTATTCTGTGATATCAATCAAAAATAATCAAACTCTTGTCTTGGTCATGCAATAGTGGGTAAGTACAATTATTATGTTTTAATTTATTGATCTTTTACTACTGATATTCATCAACTAAAACTTGTCACACAATAGTTGGTAAGTATATGATGTGTACTATTATACTCTTACTTGCTACAATCTTCCATTCTCTCTGATATTAACCAAACAATAATTAAAATTAAACTGTTATTTTCATCGCACAATAGGGAGTAAGTCATAATAATGTGTACTATTATTTATACTTATTTTGCATTGGTTCAACAATCAAAATTTTTTTATCACACAATAGGGAGTAAGTGATAATTCATTTTTATAATTTTTAACTTTTTTTATTTGTCACACAATAGGAAGTAAGTCATAATGTGTATGTGTGTAGAATGAATTTGTCGTTCTTTCTATATCAATAAACTGTGACATCTTTATCATACATACAATAGAAAGTAAGTCTTATAATGTGTACTTTTATATTAATGGTTCTCTTACTGATATCCATCAATTGTTATCTTTGTCATACAATAGTTGGTAAGTGTAATAATTTTTTTAATGTGTTGTTCTCTCTCTAATAATAATTAAACTGTTATCTTCATCACACAATAGACAGTAAGTCTAATACATGCATGTACTATTATCTTCTCTGTTTTGTCACTGATATCCATCAACTGTTTTCTTTGTCACACACAATACAGTGGGTGAGTAATAATGTGTACTATTATTTACATTTTATCTTGATTTTCACAACAAAATCAAACTTTTATTTGTATCACACAATAGGAGGTATGTGATAATGTTTGATTGTTTATATCTTTGTGATTATATTGACAATAATCAAACTCAATTTTGTCACATGATAGGAAGTAAGTCATAATGCGTACATTATTTTAATGTTTTGATCTGTCTTTATTTCTCATATCAATAAACAATTAAACTTTGATATCTAGATAGTAAGTTTACTAATGATTACTTTTTATTGTTTTCTTATATCCAACAACTGTTATTGTTACACAATAGTTGGTAAGTAGTATTTACTTTGATCTGTTATTCTCTCTGATATCAATCAACTATAAAATTAAACTGTATATCATCACACAATAGAGAGTAAGTCATATAAGGCATATCTATTTTATTTTATTGTTAAAAATTTACTGCTCTGTTACTGATATCCATCAACTATTTTCTCTCACACTATAGGAAGTAGGTCATAATGTGTACTATTTATCTTTTAATCTTTCATTCTCCAAACTTTATTTATCACACAATAGGAAGTAAGTTACATCTCTATTATTTTTTTGACTTATCTTTATCTGATAATAATTATAA